ACCCACACGGTCTTGCTTTGCTGCGACACGTTTGTGGCCTGTTGTGGCCTGACGTGGCCTGAAACCACACGTTTGTGGCCTGTTGTGCCCTGACGTGGCCTCAAATCAAAAACACACGTTTGTGGCCTGTTGTGGCCTGATGTGGCCTCAAAAACACACGTTTGTGGCCTGTTGTGGCCTTGTTGTGGCCTCACGGCGTATTTTTCCCCGGAAAAATGCATTTGTGGCCATGGGGACTCGGGACCCTATAATACTATTGAAAGGGTCCCCACGCACAGCAGACGTAGGGTAATGAGGCCAGATCCCAAGACCGACCAGAATTTTAATCCAGGATTTTTCCAAAGTCGCTTATCTTCTAAACTGAACATTGTTACAAGTGTTCAAACACGACCTATGCCAATGCACTGTTCAAAACGCGGCGCCGAAGAAAAGTTGGCAGACATAGAAATCACGTGGGGCCCCATGGCTTCACCACTCCTCCGCTGCCCGTCACTGCATCACTTTCTCTCACTCCGTCGTCCTCGCTTCCTCACCCTCTCTCACTCTCACTCTCACTTTCACTCTCACTTTCACTCTCACTCTCACTTTCACTCTCACTTTCACTCTCACTCTCACTTTCATTCTCACTCTCTCTCACTCTCACTCTCGCTCTCGCTCTCGCTCTCACTCTCATCCTCACACACTCACAGACACTGTCACTCTCACTCTCACTCTCACTTTCATTCTCACTCTGACTCTCATTCTGGCTCTTGCTCTCGCTCCTCACACACTCACAGACACTGTCACTCTCTTACACGCAAGCACTTGCTGCTCCAAAACACAGTGCTAAAATTCAAAATGCTGTGTAAACAGGTCTCCCATTAACAGCGCGTCAACTGCCGCAAAAAACTGAGATTGGAGATAGCGCCAAAATATGTCCAAGCATGCGCAAATGCACTTGTGGCATCCGTTTACCAGCTACAACCTGGAACTTCAACAGCTGATTTGCTGGGCAGCTGTTTCTGTACAGTGGATTCTTGCTGCAGAAAAGTTGCAACACGCAACCAAAACGAAAAGGCAAAGAATAATTGAAGGCGCCCAGCATGAAAGAAAGCAGAGTTTCTTGTCAAATTTTTCAGTGTTTCTGTTTGGCCATGTTGGAAAACAAAAGACAAGAGAACCCAATCAAAATTAAGACTGGGCGACTCTCCAGAATCGTGACTAGGACAATTCTTTAGATTGAGCAGCAGATTTTACAGCAACATTATCATTATTATTTTTTTTAGTCAAATTGTCTTTGCCGTCTGAACAGAATTTTCTCTTGCTTTTGTTTAATGTTTTCTTTGTTTTTTGTGGGGATGATCTCTTGCCAACTTGCAAGCTTTTGGAAAGAGAGAGTTCCAAGAAACCGCCTGAGCTAAAACACAAACAGATTGTTTAGCAGTGTTTTGGTGTGCTGTTAGCCCGGTAAGCTGGAAAATCAACCAGAAAGATGGTGGAAAAAAATCGCAATTGGAACCTAAAGATATCCATAAAAATGGTTTGCGGGTGCATGTCTTTGGCTTCAAAAGGTAGCCTTCTACTCCCACCAAATCAGCTGTTGCCAAGCACCCTATTGGGGTCGCATGCTTGGACATATTTTGGCGCTGTCTCCAATCTTAGTTTTTGCGGCAGTCAATGCGCTGTTAACTCTAACCTGTTTACACAGCATTTTGAATTTGGCACCATTGCAACAGCCAGCAGAACCCAGCCGACACACACTTCTGGAGCACCCTTGGAGTTCTAACAATGGTCAAGTTTGTGGGATAGTGAACGAATGCCACAAGTGCATCCGTGCATGCTTGGACAAATTGTGGCATATTTCTTTTCCAATCTTGGTTTTCGCGGCGGTTAACGGACCGTTGATGGGTGAGAGCGAGAGTGAGTGAGAGTAAGTGAGAGTGTAAGGTGAGTGTGAGGAAGAGTGAGAGTGAAAGTGAGAATGAGAGTGAGACTGAGAGAGATGAGGAAGCGAGAAGACGGAATGAGAGAAAGTGATGCAGGGACGGGCAGCGGAGGAATGGTGAAACGGCGCTTCACCGTAATTTCAATTTCTGCCAACTTTTCTTCGAGACAACGTCTCAGGTTCAGAAGATACAGTTAGTTCAGCCTTACTGCAGCATTCTGCTTCGGACAAGCCCCCGTGCGCTCAGCGCGACGCTGCCCAAAGTTGCTCGAACAAGGGCAGTGGCACAGCCAACAAGATCCGGTTGCTTGGGCCCACAGGCTCAAATTCGGTGCCAGAAAACGGGGCCGTCTTGCAGTCCCAAAAATGGTGCCGCCAGATGGACCCAGCTTATTTTTGGGCTTGAACTCGTGCTTCCAGACTGCTACACTTAGCGACTCTGGCCACAGACAAGCACTCAACGTGGAAGGATCAATGAATGAGAACCACGACCTGCGCAGGCAGCTGACATGTGTGCAGTGCAGGAACGACTTGGTTTGCTGGAACCTGTGAGAATCAAAATCTCGACCAAACGATTGTGGCCTGATGTGGCCTCAAACACACGGTCTTGCTTTGTTGCGGCCTGTGGCCTGAATGAAAAGCACGTTTGTGGCCAGTTGTGGCCTGATGTGGCCTTCAAAAACACACTTTTGTCTGTTGTGGCCTGACGTGGCCTTAACAACACACGTTTGAAGCCTTGTTGTGGCCTTGTTGTGGCCTCACGGCGTACTTTGTTAGAACTCCAATCAGGGTGTCTCGGAGCACAAGTCGTTCCTAAATATCTTCGCTGTTCAAAGTCCAAGCCTGCCAAAAGCTTTCATTCTGCCCAGAGCTTTGAAGCATGACTTCTATTCACAGAAAACACCGTCAAAGACCAGCAGCTCAACTGGGCCAGCAGCATTGCCAGGACGAAGCCCAAGTTGCGGGGAAGTCGGGCGACCCCGCTTTCAGGGCCGCAAAACACAAGCAATTCGGGCTTCGCGTGCGTGGCCTCCCCTGTTTTTGTTTCTTGCGTCAGGATAAGTTGAAATTCCACCCTGTCATGGCAATGGAAAAGCTGAAGAAAGGAGCAAGGCAAGGGAAGGCAAAGGAGTTGGGTTAGGGTTAGGGTTGACCCCAACCCTAACCCAGGTAGGGGGTAACCCAAGAATAAAGGCACGACGTTTTGTTTCGGGGACACTCTGAGTTCTAAAAACCCAAACCCGCAATTCCCTCAACTCCCATTCCTCACTTCCCAAACTTTCATAAATGCTTGGGCTTCAAAAGATTTTTGGGCCCCTAAAATCCTTAAAATCCTGCGAAGCGGCTTCCCAGATTTTGAAGGATGTTATCATAGAAGCTCGACCTGAGCCAGGAAGAGTATATATTTCCAGTATTTTAATGATTTTCAGGAGTTAAGAGCTTCCCAAAAAATTAAGAAAGCCTTTGGTCTTCTTCACCTTGAAATCCTAGGAACCCGGCTTTCCAGACTTTTAAGGATTCTAAGGGTTTTTCAGGATTTTTTATCAAGTTTAAGAAAAGCTCGGCCTGAGCCAGGAAGAATATGTTTTCCCAGGATTTTGGATTGTTTAAGGGTTTTAAGGAATTTAAGGGCTTCCCAAAATTTTAAGAAACCGCTTGGGCTTCTTAAAATTTTGGGAAGCCCCTAACTCCTAAAAATCAAGAAAGTGGCCTCCCGTCAAATAGTACATGAAGGTCCTAACGTACATATATATATGTAAAGACATATACATGTACTCATGTGATTCTGGTGCATGTGGAAGTACGGATGTTTTTGCATCAAGTATTGGAAGAAGTACGATTTGTTGCCACCTGTTTGTGCGCAGTTGTGTGGGCTTTCGCCCCAAACGTCGGAATAGGCACGATGTGTTGCAGTCAGGACCATCCGAATTCGCTTTGTCTTGCTTGGGAACAGGGGGAAATGGAGAGCATTTCAGGATGCAAAACCAGGGTTTTTAACCCCGAATTGAGTGAACATCTTTTTTTGGTAGCGGTATAAAACCCGGGTGATCTGGGGATTGCCAAAGTTTCTACTGTGTGTAACCGGTGCATTCACCGGGAGCCCAGCAGAAATGCGCAAAGCTTCCATTGTGATTCTGCGAGTATTCACAAGCAATCACAAGTCTTGCTTAATCACTAGAAAGTTCCTCGACGGTTAATAGGTGCATATGTTCCAATTTGTGTAAACTTCCTTGTCTGCAGGGGGGAGAAGTAGCTATAGCTTCCTTGCCAATTTACTTCCAAACCCTAGATCTGTTGCGGACCCAACATGGCCATCATAGTTCTCAAACCAGCAGCCCACGTTTCCTCCCAGCATTCAAAAAGAGAGCAGAAAACAATGCAGTCTGACGTGAGGGTGCTTCAAGCAAGCGCCCAGGTGCTTCCCAACTTGTTCTTCGCCGCCCTGCACGAAAACACACAGCAGCGGGGCTTCCTTCTCGTTGCAATGACTGAGGCTCAGGGGCCTAAACCCCAACCCCGAAGCCCTAAGCTCGAAGCCCTAAGCCCTAAGCCCTATAAGCCCTAAAGCCTAAACCCGAAAGCCGACATACATCAATCCCAGACTCGGTTCGATCATCCTACCCAGCCTGGGCCAGATGACACTTAAAAAGATTGTACTTCGCATTTCTGTTCGAGGGCCTTCATAATGAAGGGGCCTTCTTCAAGGCCCTCAGTTTCCCAAAGCTTGGCCGAAACTGGAACCGGGCAGCTTCGAGACAAGACATGAGTTTAGGTGTGCCGACTGGGTTGCTTTGCAGAATGAAGTTCATGCACGTGTGTGTCGAACACATCACTTTCAAAGCTGTTGGAGATGTTGACTTGCCTGTGCTGTCTTGGAAGCTGCAGACGGCCCCGCTCTTCGAAGAGTTGGTAGTCAGCACCGCAATGCCAGAGCACAACAAAAAACACAACAAAAAGACACCAACGTACTCGGCCCTTGCAATGCAAGAGCACAAGCAAGAACACACAATCAACAACGCCAGGCCGCACTCGGCCCAAAGCTTCTTCACCTTTCCTACTCCCAGCCCGCTTGCACATGGGCCGCCAGGCATGGAAGCCCATGCTTGTGACACCTGCCTTGGGCTCGGAGTGCTGGGCCGCAGGGCACGACCCTCTGCTGTGCTGCCACCCAAAGCTTGGGGAGAAAGGCTGGGAGCTCTGCTGGGATGGGGACTACACAGCCTTGCGCTGCTGCAACCAGAGCGCCTGGGACTCCCAGGAGCAGCTGGGATACATGCTAAGACTTCAGGACTCCTGGCATCGCCGCTGCGAGCACGCGGAAGTCTTCCGGGACAAGCCCGGGGAGTGGTCGGACGGGGTATGGCAGCAGTTGATGTTCTGGTTCTACTGGCTCCAGAACCGCACAAAGGCGGAGCTGGATGACTTTGCAAGCCGCCCGCTGGAGGAGAAGCTGCGGCGGCTGGCCAAGAGGTCCCGCTCGGGAGAGCCGCACCTCCAGCTCCAGAAGGTCAGCACGCTAAACCTTAGATCCTAAACCCTACCCTGAACCCTGAAACCTAAACCCTAAACCCTAAACCCTAGACCCTACAACCCTAAACCCTAGACCCTATAACCCTAAACCCTCAGAAGGTCAGCATCCTGGATGTGGGCGCAGGGGCCGTGGTCCAGGTGGGCCACCAGTGGCCGGGCGTTGAAGTGGAGCTGTCCGTTGCAGACCCCCTTGCTTGCCACTACCACTGGATGCTGGAGGTCCCCTCAATCCTAAACCCGAAACCCTCGACCCTAAACCCTAAACGCCAAACCCTCAACCCTCAACCCTCAACCCTCAACCCCCAAACGCCAAACCCCAATCTCTGTTCTCCACCGGGTGCAGGGTTCACATCCACTGACCTTCTCTTTCGGGCCATGGCTTCCCTTTTTCAGGAGGGTTGGGGTGGTCCTTCCCTCGCTAGAATAATCAACGCCCAAAGGTCTTCCCTAGCTTGGTCGTATGGGGGTTTACGATGTTAGGGGTACCTTATTGGGGTCCTTATGATCAGGGGATCCGAGTCTTTGAAGGTCTACATTGGGGGTTCCCCTATTGTCGTAAACCCCAGTATGACGGAGTGTTTAGCATCCAGGGGGGGGGGGGGGGGTTGGAGCAGTGTAGTGCAAGCCCCTGCGGACAGATTTCCCAAAATACACATCGTTTTTGGGGGTCGTGGAGCCGATGTGACGCTGTAGCCCCGAGGACCTGGGCCTTCAGCATCTCCAGCCAAGGCGGTCCAAGCCGGTGGGTGCGGAGAGCGTCGCCGAGGCATTCGGACATGAGGTCTTCGACGTCATCCACAGCTCCAACGCGCTCGACCACAGCCACGACCCCATCGCTGCCATGAGGGGCCTCCTCCGGGCCATCCGTCCCGGCCGACCCCTGTACCTGGAGATGCGGCAAAACGAAGGCCAGTACCAAAACTACACAGGCTTCCACCTCTGGAACTTCGACCTCCAGGACCAACGCCTGGTGCTGTGGCGGCCCCGAGGGGAGAGCAAAGAGTTCTACGACGTGGAGTCTGTGCTGGCCGCGGACGGCCTCGTGTCCCCTGGAGACCTGGAGGTTGATCTCAGCTGGGACAAAGAGAATGAGGTGTACCAGGTGGTGTCCACCATCTGGCGGAGAGATGTGTAGCGAATGGAAAGGACATTCCAGCTCATGACTCGGTGCCTCGTAAGAACCTTCAACCCTAAACCCTAAACCCTAAACCCTAAACCCTAAACCCTAGACCCTCCAAACCCTAAACCCTAAACCCTAAACCCTAAACCCTAAACCCTAAACCCTAAACCCTAAACCCTAAACCCTAAACCCTAAACCCTAAACCCTAAACCCTAAACCCTAAACCCTAAACCCTAAACCCTAAACCCTAAACCCTAAACCTCCAAGACCCCCGAGTTGGGATCCTAAACCCTCAGGAAGCTCGGGGCCCCTCAATCCTTTAACCTTTAAAACCGTAAAACTTAAGCCTTAAACCCTAAACCCCCTAAAATCCTTAGAGCCTATCAAAAACCTTGAGCCCTAGACCCCAGATACTACAAACGCACCCTAACCTGCCCATGCAAACTCTAAAACCCTCGAAGCCCTAAAACCCCCTAAGCCCAGGGTTTTGGCTTGTAATACTATGCTTATAAAGGGGCCAGTCCGACCCCTATTACCTAGGGAATGTTACGGAAGCTTAGGGAGCCTTAGGGAGTGGGAGGGAGTGCAAGGGACCCTTGGGTTGCATACCGCCCTTCAACCCCCCTCCCTCAAGATCTCTGTACTCACAGGGTTTTGGATGTGTGAGGGAACTTAATCCATGCATGTATCTAGGGTTTAGGGCATTAGGGCATTAGGGCTTAGGGCTTAGGGTTGAGGGCCCTTAAGACCGACATAGTGTTGTTGTTGCTGCAGCACTACAGCCTTCGAGTGGGCTCGCCCCGCATCATTGTTACCCTGAACCAGGGGTACACTCGTGAAACCCGAGGATAGTCCGCAGCCTTGCACTGATTGAACAGGCAAAAGGCTGCCGTTTAAAGTTTAGGGTTTAGGGTTTCGGGCTTTAGGGTTTAGGGTTTCGGGTTTAGGGTTTAGGGGTAGGGTCAGAAGGTCTCAAGAGTCGTCGTCTGAAGCTTAGGGCTCAGGTCGGGTGTTGATGGCACCGCTGTGACTTTGACATCAACGATAGCCCTAAACCTTAAACCCTAAGCCCTAAGCCCTAAGCCCTAAACCCTAAACCCTAAAATCAACACTCCAACCTTAAGCTCTGAACCTTTAGCCCTAAGATACCCTAAGCCCCAGAACCCTAAACCCCTCACAGCCCTAAACCCTGAACCCTGAACTTCCCTGAACCCTAAACCCTAAACCCTAAACCCGAAACCTGAACGCTAAACCCTAAACCCTAAACCCTAAACCCTGAACCACACAGCATGACACCTCTTCGAGCCTACAGTGCGCTGTTGCCCATGGCGCAGGGCCTGGTCGCCAAGGACGTCGGTCTTGAGACTGGTGTTTAGGGTTTAGAGGTTTAGGGTTTAGGGTTTAGGGGTTTAGGGTTTAGGGTTTAGGGGTTAGGGGTTTAGGGTTTAGGGTATAGGGTTTAGGGTTTAGCGCAGACTTTGGGCATGACATCGTTTCGGGCATGTAGGTGCAAGGCTCTTGGGTTGTGCCTGGTGCAGGATGGTTCCGGCACCAGCGGCGGGCGCTCGAGACTTTGGAGCCAGGAGCAAACTTTCCCCAGACAGCTCGCCCGTGCGCGCTGTTCTAAATTAGGGTTTAGGATTTAGGGTTTAGGGTAGCTACATCATCTAGTTGATTGGTCGTCTCTCTTGCTCTGAACATGTCGCGCGGCATGATGCTCTGCACTCTTGTTAAGGCGCTGAACACCCCCCCCCCCCCACCAGGGCCCCAAACCCCCTTTTGATACTGAAGCCAAGAAATTATTGATTTTTCTGGACTGTGAAACACCATTTAAAGGATCGCTTTCTCGATTGTTTTTGAAAAGCCCTGAACCCTCAGCCCTAAACCCTAAACCCTGAACCCTACAATTCAAAGCCCCGTAACCCTAAACCCTAAACACTAAACCCTAAACCCTACACCCTAAACCCTAAACCCTAAACCCTACTACATGAGGAGCGCGATGCCCACATGCTGCAGCAGCAGCTCGCGTGGGAAGCCAAGCTTGCGATGCTTTTGTGTTTCTGCTCTCAGGTCTGACGGATTAAGAGGGGCGTACAGTGTTGAGGGGTCAAACCCCTAAAGCCTAAAGCCTAAAGCCTAAAGCCTAAAGCCTAAAGCCTAAAGCCTAAAGCCTAAAGCCTAAAGCCTAAAGCCTAAAGCCTAAAGCCGAAAGCCTAAAGCCGAAAGCCGAAAGCCGAAAGCCTAAAGCCTAAAGCCTAAAGCCTAAAGCCGAAGGCCGAAAGCCGAAAGCCTAAAGCCTAAAGCCTAAAGCCGAAAGCCGAAAGCCGAAAGCCGAAAGCCTAGACCCGAAACGCTAAACCCTAAACACTAAACCGGTTCAGGTGTGGGTTTTCAGGGTTCTGGGGGTCAAAAAAGCCTTGTGGTTTTGGACCGGTCCGCCCCAATACTCACACTTTCCCCCTCATGCAATATAGCACGGCCTCTGTAGTGAGGATTCTCTCTAACTATGCTCCTTTTGGCAAACCCTAAGCCCTGAGCCTTAAACCCTAAATTGTGGTCCCTTTTGGGGTTCCTATGAGGTTACGGAGCTGGGATATTTTGGGGGGAGGAAGAAAGGGGATGACGAGTCTTGCCCTAAACCCCTAAACGCCAGGGTTTAGGGTTCAGGGGATTGAGGGGGCTTAGGGGGTTTAGGGGGTTTAGGGGGTTTAGGGGGTTTAGGGGGTTTGGGGGCTTTAGGGGCTTTAGGGGCTTGAGGGCCTTTAGGGGGTGAAAGGTGATTTAGGGGGTTTTCAGAAAGTTAAGGGGTTGAGGGGGTTGAGGGGGGGTGAGGGGGGCTGAGCGGGGTTGAGGGAGTTTGAGCGGGGTTGAGGGTGAGGAGCGGGGGCCCCTAAACCCTAAACCTTAAACCCTAAACCCTAAACCCAGGCGTATCGGCTCTCAGCCTTCGCTGCAAGACATGGTGGGTTTCGCTTTCAGTTTGCACAGTCAATTTTCTGCCAGGCAGGGACCACTTCGCATGATGGTTTCAGCCGCGGCCTTTTTTTCGGGGTTTTGCCTTGTAGCCTCAAGGGCTACAACGCCACCCCAGTTTCGAGCCATGACGGATGGCACAGGGGCCGCAGAGAGCCTCATGGAGGCCAGGCGCGTTTACAGCGAGCAGGCCACCTTGGTACAGGGCCCAGCGTACGCCGCCTCACAGCAGTTGTTCTTCGAGCAGCGCAGGGTTGCCAAGCGCGGCCCCCCGACACCGGCCTTTTCCTCAACGGGGCTGGCCACCCCAACCGGAGACACCTTTGGCCCAACGGCTCCAACCGCCTCAGGGAGTACTCCGCCGGCAAAGCAAGACACTGGTCTTTTCCAGCCCATGCACTACCAGCAGGAGACGGCTTTTGTAGCCACAGCCCACTCCGCCGGTGTCAACGCAAACAACCCGACAGATATGGCCCTATGGATGAAGGAAACGATTTCCACCAGGGCGCAAGTCCTGGACACCATCCGGCATTACCACACCGCCGTGATCCGTCCTGAACTCTACAATTTGATCAACCAAGTTGAGGCAGCATTGGTCTCGCTGGACGATAGACTACTACGCCAATCCAAGGAGTTAGCCTGGATGGCTTCAGAGAACAGAGCCCTCCAAAAGCAAAGTGCTGCACTCATGGTCATTTTGACCGGCTGGGATACGAGCATGTCGCCCTCCGAACGGCTCTTCATGGTCAATTGGATGCTCGAGCAGATCACCCACGTCCAGGCCTTCTTGCAGCAGAGGGGGTGGGCCAACTTCGACGGCGAGTACAAGTACCTCAATGTCCTCTCTGCAGACCCGTCTACTCCGCCGGCAGGGGCACAGAAGTGGAGCTCGGTAACGCTACTCAGCTTCAAATCCTGGGACCTGAGAAAGGCGTTCATGGAGGCATATGGTGGCACTCAGGGTACCCCACTGTACAAGGATGCGCGCACTCCAGTACCCCGCCACCATATCAGGGCTACACCTTCGAGCCCCCAATTCCAACGAAAGTTGGAAATTCCAATCCGAGTACTCCTCCAAGCCCTCAACCTCAAGGAGGAGACCGAGCCCCGCCAGGTGGTGATCTTGTGGAAGACGCTCACGGTGATGTCGCCCCAAATGGCGCGCGGCTTTGATGAGCAAGCCACCGCCTGCGCTCGCCTCCACTACTACGCCGAGGGGGAGCAGTTCAAAGGCATCCTCGAGATCACAAAGGTCATCTCCGACTGGCTTGCAACCACTCCGCCCGATGAGTTGATGACAGAGGAGGACACGATTTGGTCCTACAGCTGGAACAAGATCGTCTTCGGGGTCCAGCAGGAGATGGATGCAGCAGAGCGCGACCACTTCGCCAACGCCAAGGCTGCAGCAAAGGGCACGGGCAAGGGGATGCTTGCTGGAAAGGGGTCCCGTCACTGGACGGCCCCGATGATCTACTCCGCCAGCTCGATGCCGTACCCGATCGACCTCGAGATCAGACTGGTGTCCCAAGTGGCCTACGTTTGGGATGAGTATTGTGATAAGTTTGGCGAAAACAGCCGCAAATGCGGCGACTACCGCCAGGCTACTTTTTCCGGAGCCCCGGTTGCGGCTACTCCGCTTCTCACGGCCCCCACGGCCTGAAGGGTTCCGGCTCGAATTCGCGATCTAGCCAGGGAGGTACGTACCTCTTTTTATCTCCAGGCTAGTGCGCCGCTCCCCCACAATTTCAAGGTACTCCTCGAAGGCAACTTCACATTTGAAACTTTCTTAAAGGAATTGCTTCGAGATGTTTTAAGTCAGGGGTTGAGCAGGCCTTCCACCCACAACCACCCCGCCCCCCATATGATAAGACTTTACCCTTTCAGAGTTTCCAGGTTTTTGGGTGCCCCGGGTGTTGCACGATCGCGGTCGCACGCTGAGTTTGTAGAGGTCGCCAAACAAACCCTCACAGCTAAAGACCTGCAGTGGGATATGAGGGTTGTTCGTAGAAGCCGAAAGAGACCCAGTAAACTCCCAACTAATC